ATAAAAAGTTAGATCTTTAGCATGAGGTCAAAAAGTTTTTTGTTTGAGTTATTTTGATTTTATATTTTTATTATTTTTTCTACTTAGTTATGAATTTTTTAGTTAAGTGCTTATACATAAATAATTGGATTGTGTTTTTTTATTATTCAGATTTAAAAAATTTAAAAATTCTATTTATTTATCAATTTTATGATTTCAAAACCCTAGACTTTATAGAATGATCAAGTCAAATTCACATATAATTTTTATTTTTTAAAAGAAAAGGTCTTCTCTAATTATATCTACAACAACAAGCAACAAGACAACATCATTGCAGCATTTTATCAGATTCGTTTAAATCCAAAATAATAGCATAGGAAATAGAAAATAATTATTTCTTCTCTTGCTTTGTCGAGGTCGCACAATTGCTCATTTTGTCTGCTTACGAGAATCATCTCCAGTAAAAGCCAACAGTATCTTGTCTTTAAAGACCTCCGAATATTACGGAAACAGTCAAAATTGCTGGCAGCTTTGATTAAGCACTACAATACATTCGGACACGTTCTAACTTGGTCTTCCCTCGGAAAAAAATAAATAACTAAATAAATAAATAGAATCCATGTACTTGGTCTTCCCTCGGAAAAAAATAAATAAATAAATAGAATCCATGTGCCTGGCCATACGTCTTACTAGAAGGTCTCTCTGTAGAAAATTGCCACTGGGCGATTTTGTATTTAATAAAAGAAAATCAAGAAAATTTGTTCTGTAGCGTTGCGCATCCAATTTTGTCTGTTTATATTATTTTAATATTTGTTATAGTGTTTTTAGGTATTTGTTCATGCATCGTGTCCTTTTTTTTTTTTTAGGGTTCAGGAGTTTGGTAAGCTATTAATTTCTGAATCTTTACGTTCATGGAAATGTTATTTTTTTGTATTTTTTTAAATAAATATGAGATGATAATGTACAAAAAAAATCATTTATGAAGGCACGCGTTGTGATTTGTTGTCTAAAAGTCTTTTAACTCTCAAGAGTTATTTATTATATATTAATTCACTTCTATTTATTTTCATTGAATTCTGTTACACGTTTCACTCCTTGACTTATTTGTTTTTATATTTAAAAAAATTTATTTTTTATTTCTTGAAATTAATATATTTTTAATAGTTTCAAATTATTTTGATATACTAACATTAAAAATAATTTTAAAAAAATAAAAAATTTAAAAATATATATTTTAATATAAAAAATTATTTAAAAAACAATTATAATTACACTTTCGAATAATAAACTTTATTTTCATTTATTTTCCATTGAATTCTGTATTCATTTCTGTCATTATGCCTGCTGCTGGTGGGGACGCTTTTAATTTAAGAAAACTTTAATTCCCTACAAATTTCCGTAGAAATCAAGGAAGAATAAAAAGGTAGGTCTCAAATACATAGTTTGTCCAACAGAGAGACACGGATGATGATGATCCGAGCATTTACTCACACGATTCGATTACTTGAAAAATAAATAAATAAAATTTCTATCAACAGCCCATGGTAGCTATTAATTATATTCATCGTGTATTTTTATGAAAGAAATATTAGATTCCACGTCAAATCAAGGAATTTAGGAAACACAGGTACTATGCTCTAGAAGCAGCTTCATGTCTTTCTACTTTAAAAAAATTAATATTTATATATTCTTTCCTTCTTTTTCGAGAATCAATTAGATAATTATTCCGTGCTATCTTATTAACCAGATTAATTCTTTTTTTAACATAAAAAAATATTAAAGTGATGCCCGTGCGTGTATGTAAAAGATGTAGATAATTGATTTGATTAGGTTTAATAACCCAAGTTAGTTTAATAATATAATTACAAAGAAACATCGATAACAAACAAAATAAAACAAAAATGACAATGGCAAAATGCCAAAAAAAAGTTACCAGCACCATGAAAATATATATTTTTAATATTATTAAAAGGTTGTTATGATTTTATTTACTAATAAAATAAAAGTTAAATAAAAATAAGATGACAGGATACAAAGCTAAATGAAAAGGATATGAATCTTAATTATTAATAAATTAAATGTCAAATAAAATTTTTTAAAAAATAATATAAAAAAATTATTTGATTAATTTGAGCTAGCAAATCAAATCTATAATCTAATCATATCAAATCTATAATTTTATCAT